TTTTATTACTACTATCGATTTCCTTTAAATGCTACTTCTATACACCCTACAAGTTTTTCTAATTTTAAATGGATTTTTCTTTGACTTGGCTATGTCTCCCTATTTCTAAAAACATTGTTACTGTTATTAATTTCTCCCTTTACTGCATCATGCTCAAAGAATATAACCTGTATTTGTAGAAAGTCCCTTTGCAGCTGAAAATGTAGTAAAAAATGTAAGTGACCTTAAAAAGAATGGGTATTCTTTTATTAGTGAGTGCAAAGCCTACTGTTTATTCTATCAAGATTCACAGCTCTGCCATTGAACACAGTGCTTAGAATTCTAATGCTTTTCTGTGAAATTTGCTTCAGCCATGACCTCCTCACCTTATTGATTCTTTTCCCTTTTACATCTATTTTATACAATATTTACACAGCACTAAACATTTTCTTAGAAGCTCTTAATTTTTTAAAAGACTTTTTGAGGTATAATTAGCATAAAGCATACTACAATGATGCAGTACATAATTTTATACACTTTGAGTTATGAATACATCCATGCAACCATTAGCATATTTAAGATAATGAAACACAGCTATCACCTTCTAAGGTTCCTTCTCTCCCTCCTGCCCTAGCCCTTGCAAGGTTACTGATCTATTTTTTTTTTCACTTTAGCAAAATTTGCATTCTTTATAAGAATTTTATATAAATGGAACTATAATATATGTATCCGTTTTTGCTTGGCTTCTTTCATTCAATGTAATGTTCATGAGATTAATCTATGTGGTGTCTATTAGCAGATCATTTATTAGCAGATCATTCCTTTCTGTTGAGTGATATTCCATTTCACAGATATACCAGTTTGTTTGGCCTATTGAACTTGGGGACATTATAAATATAGCAAGTAAAAACACTTATGTACAAATCTTTGCTGGGTACTGTATATTCTCTTTGGCAGACACTTAGAATTGAAACAGTTGAATCATGCTGTAAGTTTTACTTTTTGCATAACTACCACACTGCTTTTTAAATTACAGTAAAATATACACATAATATACACTTAAGTGTACAGCTGAGTAGTGTTCAGTACCTCTGTGTTGTTGTGCAACCTATCCCTGGATCTCTCTTTACACAGCATAGAACTAAGTCTATATACCGTTGGGCTAGGGATTTAGCTCAGTGATACAGTACTTGCCTGGCAAGCATGAGCTCCTGAGTTTGATTCCCAGTACCAAAAAAGTATTTATAAAAGTCTACACCTTTAACAATTTCAATTGCTCCTCTCCCTAGCCCCTGTCTTAGGAGACAGCCGACTCTGTCTCCATATATCTAAGTATTCTTAAATACTTTAAATAGTAGATTTATATACTAGTATTTGTTTTTTGTGAGTGGGTTATTTCTTTTAGTATAATGTCCTCAGAGTTTAGATGCTGTAGTGTATTTTTCAGTTGGGTTTTTTTTTTTTTTTTTTTTTGAGACAGGATCTCATAGTCCAATCTAGTCTTGAATTTGGAATTTTTTTTGCTCCACTTCCTGAGTGCTGAGATTCAAAAGGTGCACTGCCACACCCAGTCATCAACAGACATGAGTTGCTTCCACATTCTGGCTATTATGAATAATGCAGTTACATCAAGGGTACATAATCAAAACCTTGCTTTCAGCCAGGTGTGTGTCTCATGCCTGTAATCCCAGCACTCAAGAAGCTGAGGAGAATCCTCATACAAAGCTAGCCCAGACTGCACAGTGAGACCCTGTCCCAAAAAAAACAGGACCTTGTGTTTAATTCTTTGGGGCATATACTCTAAAGCAGAACTGTTGGGTCATATTGTACTGTAATTCTATTTTTTGGTTTAAGGAATTTCCACAATGTTTTCCATTGTAGTTGTATCATTTAATATTTTCACCAACAATGTACAAGGTGTCTACTTTTGCCATCTCCTTGCCAACACTTACTATTTCATAGTAGTCATTCTAATGGCTTTGAAAAGGGCTCTCATTGATTTGATTTTCAAGTTTCTAATTAGCAATGCAGAACACCTTTGCATGTTTTTGGCCATTTGTGCATCTTCTTTAAAGAAATGTCTATTCAAGCCAATTTTTTACTGAGTTTTGTGCTGTTGTTGACTTGTTGGAAGATTTTTTACTAAGTCACTGAGGCTGGGCTGGAATTTTCTTTTTTTTTTTTTTTTCACTTTGCAAACTCCATTTTTATTTTGATTAAAAAGCTTTAGAGGAACAAACATATGATACATACATGTTATAAGGACTATTAACCACTGAAACTTCAGATGATAATATAATACAGAAATTAGAATAGACCAAGTTTTAATCATGTCTGAAATACTCAAACTGAAAAATCAATACCATTAGAGGACTTTACACAAGTTAAGTGTCTTCCCTCAATTCCTCATAGGAAAGGGAGGGTGAGTTAAAACAAATAATTAAAAGCCTTTAAAATTAGTTGGCTAACATTCTATCTTAAACTTATAGATCTCCGCCATATAAACAGAATTCTCCATAGGAACTTACATTTTGAAAATAGGCTATTACACTTTCCAAGCCACATTATTATAGTTCCTGAAACTCTTAGGGAGGAAAAAAAAGAGATACATAGCTTGCTTGTACTTTTAAAAAGTTAGGAGTTTTTTCTTTCTTTTTTTTGGAAAATGGTTGACTTCAAATTTTAAATCCTAAATATTAACTGATGTTCCCTAAGTTAATGTACAGAAAGACATGATTCTAAAATAAATAAAAAATTTTTTTTTCCTTAACTTAATTAGGGCCTGCCTAGTGGTACCCTGAGGCATCTCTACACTGCCTTACAGAGCTCCTGGCTGGCTCTTGGGTTCCACAGCACCCAAGGGATGGGGAAAAAGCCTGGAGGAAGAGTACTCTGGCTTCTAATGCCCTGTGGCCCACGGTAAAGAGTTTTTAAACAAGTCTCATTGGGCTGGAATTTTCAATCCTCCTGCCTCAGCCTCCCAGAAAGCAGGATTACAGGTAAATGCCACTAAACTCAGCTGGTGTTTAATTTTTTGACTCTGTTAGAATTTACTAGTTTTGTGACTCTCTAGGATGTACAATTTTTTCTACTAGATTTGCCAGTACAAAAACCTAAATGATGTCTCCCTAGTGTGAGAAGCTGAAAGAGTAAATAAGATCCAAAATGTACTATTAATAGATATAGTGAAATGGGAAGAAATTGTTCAAAAGGAAAGAAAAACTGGGATGGAAGAAAGGAGAAAAGAAGGAAGGGAAAAGCAAAAATATATATATATTAATACCCACACACATACACACATACAAGATAAGACAGTTAAACTACTAATTTCTTTTAATTGATTGAAAAGGAAGGTTTGTGCAATATTGTATGGACAATTAAATGTCTATATTTGTACTCTGAGTAATTTAAAGATAACTATGCAAAGTATTAATCACTGTTTCTCTATTATCTTATTTTGAAATTTTTTCTCATTAATATAAAATTTTAAAGTGTGAAATAAACTTAATGATTCACTTTTCCTACTGCTTGAACAGTTATTCTTCAACATTAAACTCTCTTGAATTATAGCATTTATTTCTAGATACCTATTATATTCTACTGAAATAATTTTGAGTCTCCAAATACCCATATGCTTTGCTTCACCAACCCAACTCTAGACCCTGTTAACGCAAGTGTTTCTTCTGCTGAGTACAGGTAATAACGAACTCGTTCCTGATCTTCTGGGGATATGATGTTTGCCATAAATTGTGTTATAACATAGACTGCTTTAAAGATAGGATTTCAATTTATAAACAATTTGTATTTACATTTCCTGTTTTAGGGAGCTTTCACGGAAAGACTGCTTAGAAATTTACCATCTAGTCATGGGAAAAATAATAATTCCCTTCTACATAATAGAAGGGAAAAGAATAGGAAACCTGAATTTGATTAAGCAGCAATTCTATGCAATGAATAATCTAAAGTCTACTTTATTACAACTACCTCTTTTCTGTGGAAGAGCAGGAAAAGTATACATGAATGAATTCTTGATAATAAATAATTCTTTAGGAAGTATTTTCTAAGTATGTTCAAAATCTATAAGCTAGTAAGTAGCAACTCTGGTAGTTTTTAGTATGGTCTCTAATGTAGAAATTCTTCAATTATTTTTTAAAATTATTTTATTACATTATTTTAAATATTTTAAATCAAAAGGGAATTTTTGGAACACTGAACAACAATAGTTGTACTTTTCTGTTGCCTTAGGAAAAAAATCTCTGATCAACTGATTTAGAATTTTCTTTTATTAATGGTAAACATATATATTAAAAAAGTAGTGATATTTATAGGTATATTAATAGGTCTCCTAACAGTATCTGTTGTACATGAGGATTAGAGATCATCTATAATTCAGACTTCTCATCATATACTGTTACAATATTAATAATCAACAATCAAAAGTTGTGAAGACAGAGGAACATTACTGACCACACTGAAAACTCAACATTAGTACTGAGAATGGAGATTTCTCAAGGGGGAAAAAAAGATTAACTAACACATTACCAAAAGCAAACAAACCCTAAAAAACAAGCTCAAGTCTTGAAACTACTTGACTCAGTCTTTTTGAGAAAGGGTCTCACTATGCAGTTCAGGCAGGCCTTGAGCTTACTTTGTAGCTCAGGCTGGTCTTGAACTTGTAGCGATCTTTCTGCCTCAGCCTCCCTAGCCTCCCTAGCACTGGGACTACAGGCATAAGCCACTACACCCATCAACTATTTGATTCTTAATAAGCTCTTAGAATTAAGTGCCATTAATGTTTCGTAGATGGGTTGAACTGTCAAATCTAACAACATTAATTTGTTCTAGTTAAGAAATACATTTCCTGTCTGCCAGCAAGTTTTGGCATTAATAATGTTATTCCCATTGTTGCTTAAAATGGATACTTGCATTTGCAGGGCCTCTGAGTATAAAATGACAACAGTTTTCAATAGTTAGTCCTTCTGAAAAAGACCAATAGCAGTATGACAGTAAAACTGACTCACCACTGTCCTCTGTTTGTTGGGCAGGAAGACTCTAACAATAGGTTTTTGTGGTGATTTGGGGTTGCTCCGTGACACATCTGTAGGATTTTGAAAAACTGAAAGAGATGAAGGTAGTACTGAAAGGCTAGAAGAAGAAGAAGATGTAACGGTGTCCAGTGATGCAGAGCTAGAAACAGAAAAATCAGTTCCATTCCCGAGGGATTCCAGTAACTGCTGTTCTCTTTGTTGGAGGGCATCTAGTTTGCTGGTGTATTCTTCATAGGCCTGTAAAATAAAGTAGATTAACATTGAAACTTGACTTTCTCCTGGCCTTAACAAAACAGAATATAAAATTTCAGTCTTTGATTGTAGTTTTTTATAATCTAGCTGGGAAGGTTTTAAGTGAGATACTATAAAATGCTGAAAATACCATTATTAAATACTTATACTTTAAATGGAAAAATTACAAGACAATATTACATTCCACTGAGACACCTTGTTTACATATATGATGTCTAGATGGTCCAAAAATATTAATTTTAAAAGCATAGGATTTTCCAATTTTCTGATCCAATAATAATTTACCAAACCACATGTCTAGCACAAGATAAAATATTATACTATATCAAGAATCAGTATCTCTTTTTCTATGAAATATCACTTTCCAGAAAAGTTATAGGAATAAAACTAGCATGGCAATGCACTCTTGTAACCCTAGCATTCAGGGGGCTAAAGCAAGAAGATCTTGAGTCTGATGCTACCTAGGAAGTTCTAGGATGGTCCTGATTACAGTGCAAGAACCTGTTAAAAATTTTTTTATAAGCATATGAAGTTCTCTCTATCAGAACATTAAAAGAGGCTAAAAAGGAAATTAGGAGAGGTCTTGTCAAAATACAAGACTGAGGTCCACAGCGTCAGATTTCACTGTTAGCACTAAAAACTCCTTAAGGATTTAGAAGATGTTTTAACTGCCACCTTCTTTCAGAAATAGCTATCAGTTGCTTTATTCTTTAAAAACAAAAAACTGACTTTATCCTTCTTACTATAGATCTGCTTAAAGAATAAGGACTGCATTTTAAAATGTGGCTTTCACTCTGCAAGCATGAAATTCTAGAGCTACTATACACCAGAACATCCTCAGAGAAGTTTCATTTGACTAGGGTATATGGTCAAATGACCATCTAAGATACTGAACACTAAATGAACAGAATGATGCTGAACATACAAAGACGGAATATGCGGAACGTGTCTAAAGCTCTTTAAGACAGTGCCAATTCCTGCATTCATGGTCCACTCTGCTCCTTACCATCTTAAACCGATGTACTACTACACATGTTATTGTAAGGCTACAGTAAAAAAAAAATCACAGAGTTTAATGTGGCATTTCCTGTCTGCCAGCAAGTTTACAATTAGGCCATGGAGAAGCAGAGATCTGTATTGTAATTAGCACAGTGTGAGTATTTATCACACAGGAGAGATAAGCAGCATTTATGGTATCAGGAGGACAGGGAAGGGGATGAGAAACGTTAGTACTCAGGTAGAGGAAAATGAGAGGAGAACCCTTCTTCACACAAGAGTATTCTACAACAAAATAAGGAGATAGGAACATATATCTAAGACATGGCGCAAAAACTATAGGCTGATACAGCCAAATGTATATAATACATGGACAGTAAGGAATCAAGATGTGCTTGTAAGATTTAAATGAAGAACATCTGATACATAGTGGAACAAGATTGAAATGGAGATAAGAGAACAGGTTGAGAATGGATATTCCATACTATGAAGTGCAGACTTTATTCTGCAAGCAAAGGAGAATTATCAAAGTTAGAGATGAATGAAAGAGAAATCTCATTTCAGTAAAGATCACAGAACTCTGATATGCCATATCTTCCCACATTAAGGAAGCACAAAGGAAAATAATAAAATGAACTACTGAGGTAAGGGACCTAAACTGCATCAAAATGCCTTTTTCCATCCTTACAATCTACAAATTGTTCTCTAATTTTAAACTTTTGTATCATATTAGCATATTAGGAATAAATAATTTTTTTCTGAGCTATGATTCTGCTTTTGGTTCCAATGGCTAATTAAGGATATCTTTCTCAATACAATTCATTTATCAAGTCTTCAGTCATTCAATACATACATAGAGAGCATACAAATGCCCAACACTGTGTAGAGCTCTGACTTAAAAAAGACTAACTCATTTTTTACTCTTTGAAGGTTACAAATATTTAGTCTAGGAAAAAACAGATTCCTGCTTGCATAAATCAAATATTCTTATTTCTGTTCATTTGGTCAATTACATTTATTATGTAAAATTAGTTTCAGGAAAGGAAGTCAATGGAAACAACAAATTCCTAAATGCTTTCTTATCCAATCTTAGCTTTAATTTTTTTAATATATTGATTCCTCCATTTTGGATTATTACAATTTCACTGCATTTATCAATGCTCTTCCTTCTGTTAAGTACAAAACGGCACGCTCATTCTCCTCACTCTCACAGCTGCAGACCACCAAGGTGCTTGTTCATTCATCTCGCCTCCTTATTCTTGCTCCATTGCCCTGTGAACTCTGACTATTCTTCTAATACTCCTGCCTTAGGGTACAAACCTTATTCTAAGGGGACTTATTTCCATGCTCTCTATGTACCCTCAAGACACATAACACCATCTTTACAGTCTGCAACTTTTCATATCCCTGCAGACACACACTTACTCCATCTTGTTAAATATACATTTCAGGGTCATATCAATCTACTCAGGTCAGCTTTAGCTCCTGAGTTTTTCTGATTTGGGCCGTCTTCATCTTCCTTCCTACACTCTATGGCTTATCACTTCAATGATGCTCTAAAATTTAGGATTCTCTGGCAAGTATTTTTTTTCTTTTCCTTTTTTTGGAGACAGGGTCTTACTGTATTATGCAGTGCAGGCTGGCCTTGAACTTGATCTTCCTGTAGCCTCCCTGGGATTTAGGAGGCATGTGCCACCACTCCCAGCTTCTAACTACTTCTCCTTCTTTTACAAATATGTTCACTTATTCTACATTACAGAAACAGACACAGACACAGACACAACACATTCCTCAGGCTACCGAACAATGCTAGAGAAAATTTAAAAAACACCCAAAAAACAAAAAACAAAACTAGATCAGTTAGTTTCATTATCAATTCATGGAACTTATCTGGTACTTTACAATGGTGTGTAAAATATTTTACTTATGTTAAACAATATAACATGTTCTCTTTACAATACTTAATTCTAACTTTTTCCGTTTTTCTCTGGGTCCCAACTTCAGCCTTCAAACCTCACGCTAAAAATAATTACTTTAACTTTATCCTAAAAGCTACAATTTTTTTATTACCTCAGCCTTCCAAAGTATGACACCAGTTAAAAGGTGGTTGAACTGCATGATGAATGTAACCATGTACTGTAAATATGTACTAATTAAATTTTTAAAATTAAAAAGCACTAGTAAATCTTTTTGTGGTTGCTATTATTGTTACTAGATTATTTGACTGAGTTCTTGACATGATTCTCCTGACCTATAAACTAGTGAAGATCATAGACTGTGTCTATATTTTTAATGAAAAAAAGAGACTCTAAGAAGATTTAATAACATTAAATGACAATATTCCCCAAATTGTTATCAAAAATCCCAGTTTGCTTGTTTCTATAGCAACCAACAAAGTGATCTTGAAATTCATAGGGCAATACAAAGGACTCAGAATAAATAAAACAATTTTGAAAGAATTAAATTGAAGCAAGTAAATTTCTTGTCTCAAAAGTTACTAAAAGTTAAAATAGTCAAGACAGTATAGTATTGGAATAAGGATACTCATCTATGACAAGAGAATTGAGAATCCATGTATTTGTGGTCAACTGACTTTCAGCAATGGTGTCAAGACAAGTTAAGGTGGGGGAAATGGTCTTTTCAACAAATGACATTGATCTAATAGGATAGTCACAAGCAACACAATGAAGTTAAACTATTACCTAAGATTGTACTCACATTTAATCAAAATGAAGCACACTCTCTCAAAATATAGAAACTGAAACTATAAAACTATAAGAAAATATGAACTCATATCTCAACAACAGAAATGCATATCAACTGATTTTAAAACAGGCACAAGGGCTGGGGATCTAGCTCAGTGGCTCAAGTGCTTGCCTGGTAGGCACAAGGTTATAAATTCGATACTCCATACCACACACACAAAAAAGGCACAAGAGTTGAAAGGTGTTTAAAAAAAAAAACACACACAGATGACTAATTACATGGCTTCCTTGTATCACTGATCATAAAAACTAAAAACCAAACTGAGATATCAATACACTCTCCACTAGGATAGTTGTAATCAAAACAAAATGGAAAATAACAAGCGTTGATGAGGACATAAATTAGAATACACATTGCTGGTGGGAATGTAAAATAATACAAAGATTAAGCAGTTCCTCAAAATGTAAGAATTATCACAGAACTCTGCAATTCTGTACCTAAGCACACAACTGAGAGAACTGACAACCATGTTTACAAAAACCTAAACGTGTGACTTCCAGGAGAACATGGCGGACAGATAGCAGCAGCTAGGAGGCTCTCTGAAAGACTCAGCTTAGAATTCAGGAATGGTGCTGAGTAAGGAATCATAAGCAGGAGGAGATATGCCCCGGTGACCCAAGAACAAACTGGGCTGAGAGAAACCAACTTGGAATGCAATCCTGGTGCTATAACAGGAACAGAAAAGCCTCAGTGTGGAAGCTGGAGCCTGCGCCATTGGAAGCTGCGATTTGCGTTTCCCGCTGCGTGGCTGCATCTACATCGGCTCGGCAGGGAGAGAGACGCGCGGAAGCTCTGAGAACGGGAATCGGCGAACAGAGTTAAAAACAGGACGGGCGGGGAGCTGTTCATTGACTTGCGGTGAGGTGAGTGAGAGAAACTGACACTCTTCCACAGTTTAAGAGACTCCAGCGGAGGACATTCTGGGACTGGGCAGACTTGCGGGAGCGGGGCGCTGCAGCGACTTCAGTCACGTATCCCCCTCTCAAGCGGGATTGGTGAGAAGTGCCTGGCCTACATGATGCTGCTGGCTGAGACGCAGTAGGCTAGCACAACCCAGATCGCAGAGCCTGAGGATGGCCTGGAGGGGCGGGCCCCCCGTAGGCTGCCTGGTCTGCAACTTCCTGGTGTGCTGCGGTGGGTGGGAACACCTAGCAATTCCATCAGGCTGTGGCTGACAGGGAGGGAAGCTGGGCCTCCTATATAAGCTTGCATATATAAGGAAC